TCGACGAGGAGGGCAAGTTTCATTTTTTTGGATATTAAAAACAAATTACCGGGATTATTGGATGTGTAATATTCAAATAGTTAAATTCTTGTTTAGTAAGAATATTAGAGGTTATACCTTTATCTAAGAATTCTTTTAAAACAACTATTATGAAGTTGGATCATGGGTTAATTTTTCATAAACACTAGTGTCATTTAACACCTTAAGGACAAATGATGGGAATATTCCGTCATAATTCCCTTTTATTCCAGAAGTTGTGTCCTTAAAAGGTTAATTGTCTTAAGGCTTCCTGAGTATACATATCCTTTGAAAGTAAGACTAAACCTCCCCCTTTGTCTGCTGGCTTTATAACGATAGTATCATCTTCTGTTGTTTTAGGGCTAGTCTCTATTGGTAATTTAGATTAAAATGGTTAGATTTTTGTTTTTCAAAGACCTCTAACGGGCCTGACTTGTAACTAGATAGATAAATTTTGGATTGAGGTTTCAGGTGAGAGTTAAAAATAGCAGGAGTTTCTTCTGAACTAACACTAGAGGTATTAATTGATGGGAATAAGGTAGTGCAATGTAACTCAGAGTCTTTACTGTTAAAAAATCTTTTGAGTGGCCTTCCTTACAAATTTATTTATGTTTGAAAAAATTGGTTGGGGCAAATTTTAATCCTTTACTTAGGACAGCCAGTTAAGTAGAGGAGAGGGTCTTTTGGGATAAATTGAATATTTTTCAGTTTTTACGGTATCTATTCTTCTAGTCTTTCTTTTTTCTTGTATTCCTCGTCCACCTCTCCTTCCTATTTTTGCCCTTGGTTAGTGGAACGTATGTGCATAGAGGTGAGTGTTGGTGCGGATTTCTAAAAAAATATCCTCCATATCACCTTCTGAATCAATAACAACTGCTATCTATTGTTGTGCTTGTATGTAATAGGTGATTTGGCTTGGTTGGTGTATTCATAGTTATGGGCATATCTTGATCTTTGTGGTCTATGTGATTGGTTTCTGTAGTCCCTTCTTTCATATGTATCATTAGCATAAGAGGCATGTTTATAGTGATTGTAACGTGTAAAGTGTTGTTAAGATGAGCTGGAAAATTCAGATGTTCCTGGGTGGTCATTGGTTGTGAGGTTTTCTGTAAGTGAGGTAAGCAGCCAGCCTGCCTGGCTTCATGATTTTCAATGAAGACAGACTTCGAAGGAGAGGCAGTGTGCGCCGGGCAACAAAGGGTTAGTGCACCGATCCTGGTCCGCAGCTGACAGAATCCCCCAGGGGCCAGGCACCATGGCTGCATATCCTCACTCATGTCGGCCACTGACTGAAGTTTGAACCAGCAGTCTGGCTCCGGCACGATACTGCAGTGTGATCAGATAGAAAAGTGAAGTAAGCAGGAATGGCAAAATGCTGTCCCTGATAAAGTGCCGCCTGGAGCCATGGCTCCATCGCGGCCGATGGACGGGGCTGGCCCTAACAGGAACCAAGGCCTTTCCACTCTTATATTATTTTTTCCAGAAGTGAGTCATCAGTTTAATTTACCTCTGTAAACATCACATTCTTGGCTAAGGATGGTAAGGACCCAACAATTTGTTCCAGCTATTACCTTATTAAAGTTCTAAATCTGGGTAACAAGTCCTTTTCAAAATTTTGGCAAAGCATCTCTCCCCCTCTTTATCAGATATTATCTTTCTGGATCAAACAGGCATCCAAAAACATAACATACCAGCATGGGCGTCCGCAGGAATTTTTCCGGGGGGTATAATTGTAATGACATCCATGCTTGGTACCTTTTTGACAGTGTCATGAAAGGGAAGGGGCATAGCCATTATCACATAAAGCCAGGGTGAATAGAGTTTTCACAACTATGGTGTCAGGAATATATGTTTGTATTCCTGACACTATAGTGTTCCTTTAAGCAAATTAAAGGACCTTCTGGTCACCATAACAACTTCCCCTAAATGAAAATGCTATGATGCCAGGAAGCCCCTGGGTACTCGCTTTCCTTTAAGGGGTTAAATTGCTCTCAAATGGTTTAACCCAAAGGCTTCCTCCAGCTCCAGGTCGGTCAGTAGTATTTGGCTTCTGAAACAGAGTGTCAGGAAGTGCAGATTGACGTCAGGCATGGGTGCCGCTGATTGGCTAGAGTGGACAGTTGACACAATCGCTAGTTCCCGGTTCATAAAATATTTTTACTTTTTTATGAATGGGGAGCTACTGATTGGCTTAGAGTGCCAGCTGAACGCTCTAGCCAATCAGCAACACCCCTACCCAACGGCACTCTGTGCTTCCTGACACTTAAAGTGAACATAGAAACATAGAAACATAGAATGTGACGGCAGATAAGAACCATTCGGCCCATCTAGTCTGCCCAATTTTCTAAATACTTTCATTAGTCCCTAGTCTTATCTTATAGTTAGGATAGCCTTATGCCTATCCCACGCATGCTTAAACTCCTTTACTGTGTTAACCTCTACCACTTCAGCTGGAAGGCTATTCCATGCATCCACTACCCTCTCAGTAAAGTAATACTTCCTGATATTATTTTTAAACCTTTGTCCCTCTAATTTAAGACTATGTCCTCTTGTTGTGGTAGTTTTTCTTCTTTTAAATATAGTCTCCTCCTTTACTGTGTTGATTCCCTTTATATATTTAAATGTTTCTATCATATCCCCCCTGTCTCGTCTTTCCTCCAAGCTATACATGTTAAGATCCTTTAACCTTTCCTGGTAAGTTTTATCCCGCAATCCATGAACCAGTTTAGTAGCCCTTCTCTGAACCCCTCTAAGGTATCAATATCCTTCTGAAGATACGGTCTCCAGTACTGTGTACAATACTCCAAGTGAGGTCTCACCAGTGTTCTGTACAATGGCATGAGCACTTCCCTCTTTCTACTGCTAATACCTCTCCCTATACAACCAAGCATTCTGCTAGCATTTCCTGCTGCTCTATTACATTGTCTGCCTACCTTTAAGTCATCAGAAATAATCACCCCTAAATCCCTTTCCTCATATGTTGAGGTTAGAACTCTATCAAATATTCTGTACTCTGCCCTTGGGTTTTTACGTCCAAGATGCATTATCTTGCACTTATCCACATTAAATGTCAGTTGCCACAATTCTGACCATTTTTCTAGTTTACCTAAATCATTTGTCATTTGGCTTATCCCTCCTGGAACATCAACCCTGTTACATATCTTAGTATCATCAGCAAAAAGACATTAATACTGATATTTTTTTACCTTTGGAGATGAGAAGGTCCAGCGTTTCCCTGCCTGGCCCAGGTACCAAAGCCTTATGATGTGGTGTCTAGAATAAAGTGGAGGGTTCACTTCATTTGTTCTTCCTGCTCCAATCTCCTTTTCCTCTCCTTCATTTGACAGTCTTTTTTTTTCTTCTTTTTTTTCTTTCTATCCTTGGCCCCTTCTGCTCTTTTACCTTTCTGCTACTTTCTGCTTATTTAGCGCCCTTCTGCTCCTTTCTCATTCTGATCTCTTTCTGCTCCTTGCAGACCCTTTCTGCTCCCTTTTCTACTTTACCTTTGTGTTCGCTCTGATTCTTTCTGCTCCTTTACCTTTGTGCTCCTTCCTGCTCCTTGCAGGCCCTTCCTGCTCATTCTCCTATTTTACCTTTGTGCTTCTTCTGCCCCTTCCAGCTCATTTCTGCCCCTTTCTGCTCCTTCTACTTTACCTTTGTGCTGCTTTACCTTCCAGCTCTTTGCTGACCCTTCCTGTTCATTTCTGTTCCTTTGTGCTCCTTCATCTACTTTACCTTTTGTGCTCCTTGCTGTCCCTTTCAGCTCCTTGCTGCCCCTTGATGTACCTTCCTGCTCATTTCTGTTCCTTCTCCTTTTCTTACTTTACTTTCTTGCTTCTTGCTGACTCTTCATGTAGGCTGTCTCCCCCATCCCTCACTTCCATAGGCGTGCGCACGGGGTGTGTCGGGTGTTCCTGGGCACACCCTAATCCCTGCGGCACGCCAATGGATTGAGACCGGCAGGGGAGATCTCTGGATCTCCCCAGTCGGCTCATGCAGAGCTGACGCAATCCGAGCGGCGGCTCTGGTCTAAGCCTCCATGGGCCGGTGGGGAGATCAAAGTTCTACCTCACCGGTCCACAGCAGCATGGAGGGAGGCAGCAGAGAACCCGGGCTAGAGTTCACTCTCCACTGAACCACCAGGGAAGGCAGCAGGGCGGGGATATTAACTAATCTGCCCCCACCTCCACCCAAACATAGAGCACACACACACACAGCACCTACACACAGCACACACAGCCCACAAACAGCATCCACACACATACAACACCCCCACACACCCAGCACACTAACAGCATCCTCACAAACACACAAAACCCACACACAACACCCGCACAGCACCCACACACAAACAGCACACTCACACACAAACAGCACCCTGACAAACACACAACACCCACACACAGCACACTAACAGGACCCGAACAAACACGCACACACAAACACCCTCTCACACACACACACACAGCACACTACCAGTTCCCTCACACACACAGCACACAAACAGCACCCTCACACACACACACACACACACACTCACACACACACAGCACTGTGTGTGTATATATATATGTATATATATATATACACACACACACACACACACATATACACATGGCATGTGTTTGTGCTTTAGGGTGCACACCCTAATGCAATAGGCTGTGCACGCCTATACTCACTTCCCTAATCTATAGGCTGCACCCCCATGCCTCACTCCCCTAATCTATAGGCTGCTGCCCCCCCAGCCTCACTCCCCTAATCTATAGGATGCCCCCCCTCACTCTCCTAATCTATAGGCTGCTGTCCCCCCAGCCTCACTCCCCTAATCTATAGGCTGCTGCCCCCCCTCACTCCCCTAATCTGCCCCCCCACTCCCTAATCTATAGGCTGCTGCCCCCTCTCAAACCCCCCCACCCCATCCCTCACTTACCTGGTCTGTAGGCTGTCTCTGGCTGCATGTGTTGTTCCCCTGCGGTTTCAATCAGCAGAGAGAAGCAGGGATAAGATGCAGCTTCCTATCCCTGTCTCTCTCCATACACAGAGACAGGGATAGGAAGCTGCATCTTATCCCTGCTTCTCTCTGTATTGCAGTTCATTTTAAATCTCACACGAAAAATAGCAGAACAAGCTGAAAAATCCAGGGGGGGCAAGTGCTCCCCCTTGCCCCCCCATGCGTACGCCCATGCATACCGGAATATCATTTCTAATTAGTTTGGTAATATCTGCTTGATCCAAGGAGATATCTGACCGCCATTTTGAGATCAAGAAGCAATATTTTCCTTGTTTGTTGCAAAATTGGAAGTGCTTCTGGTAGAGAGGTTTGGGACAACATCATGAGTCTTAAGCCTTTCACACTAAGCATGCCACTGTGAATCCTAAAGTCGATTGATGCCAAAAATGTGTTTGACAGGATAGATTTTGTTTTAATGCTTGCGTTGTTGCAAAAGCTAGTTATGGGTTCCAGGTTCCTTTCCTGCCTTTTTATTCTGCACTTATAGCCAGGCTTCACAAAAATGAAGCACCGTCTGAACCCTTTCAGATAAAGAATGGCACCAGGCACCAGCCCCTTGTCATAGCTAAATAGTTACAAAGCTGAAAATAGACTTGCGTCCATCAAGTTCAGCCTTCCTCACATATGTTTTTGCTGTTGATTCAAAAAAAGGCAAAAACCCAGTCATAAGCACTTCCAATTTTGCAACAAACTAGGAAAACATTCCTTCTTGACCCCAAAATGTCAGTCAGATATCTCCTTGGCTCAAGTGGCTATTACCCCACTAGTTAGAAATTATATTCCTGTATGTTATGTTTTGGAAGTATTTATCCAATTTCTGTTTATACATCGGTATGGACTCTGATAAAACCACCTCTTCAGGCAGAGAATTCCACATCCTTATAGTTCTTACTGTAAAAATCTTTTCTTTGCCTTAAACTAAATCTCCTATCTTCCAGCCTAAATGTGTGACCTTGTGTCCTACGTATAGCCCTCTTTATGAATAGATTTCCAGATAATGGTTTGTACTGGCCCTTAATATATTTGTATATTGTTATTATATCCCCTCTGAGGGGTCGTTTTTCCAAACTAAAGAGATTAAATTTGTTTAACCTTTATTCATAACTAAAATGCTCCAATACATTGATAAACCATGATATCCTTCTTTAGAACAGGTGCCCACAATTGCACAGCATATTCAAGGTGTTGTCTTACCAGTGATTTATAAAGAGGCAAAATTATATTTTCATCCCGAGAATTTATGCCCCTATTTTTACACGACAAAACCTTACTGGCCTTAGCAACTACAGATTGACATTGCATTGTGCTGCCTAATTTGTTGTCTATAACAATTTCCAAATCCTTCTCGTGTGTTGTTATCCCTAATTCACTACCATTTAGGGTGTAAGTTGATTGTGCATTCTTTACCCTGAAGTGCATAACTTTGCATTTCTTTACATTAAATTTCATCTGTCATGTTAGTGACCAGTCCCCCCATCTATCTAAATCCTTCTGAAGCAAAGCAATATCCTGCTCACATTTTATTAATTTACAAAGTTTTATGTCATCTGCAAACACTAAAACATGCCTTTCAATGCCTATTTCAAGATCATTTATAAATATGTTAAATAGAAGTGGCCCCAAAAGAGAACCGTGGGGACACCACTTACTTGTTTTGTTCATTCTGAAAATGTACCATTAATGACAACTCGTTGTACTCTATCCTTAAGCCAATGTTCTATCCAAGAACAAGAATTCATATAGACCAATTTCTTTTAGTTTGAACACTAACCTATTGTGAGGAACCGTATAAAATGCATTGGCAAAATCCAAGTAGATCACATCCACTGCAACACCCTGATCTATACTTCTACTTACTTCTTCGTAGAATGCAATTAGGTTAGTTTGACATGACCTATGTTTCATAAAACCATGCTGATTATTGCTAATAACAAAGTTCTTCCCAATGAATTCCTGAATATTATTCCTTAAAGCCCTTCCAATCCTTTCTCAGAGAAGTTAAGCTCACAGGTCTATAATTTTCAGTCAAGGATTTTGAACCCTTTTAAAATATAGGAACGACATCTGCCTTTCTCCAATCCTCTGGTACAATACCTGAAACAAAAGAATCTTGAAAGATGAAATACAGAGGTTCACTTATTTCCACACATAGCTCCTTAAGTACTAGAGGGTGAATACCATCAGGCCCCAGAGCTTTATTTACATTCATTTTCTTTAACTGCTGTAGAACTTTGTATTGAGTCATCCAATCACGTTATCTTAGTTTTTTGCCGCAATCATTTGCATATCTCTTGCCATAGGATCCTCATTAATGTATACTGAAGATAAATAGTTTATTTAAAATTTCTGCCTTTTCCTGTTCTTCATTAACTAACAGACCCAGCTTTTTTTCCAGTGTACATACTCTTTCATTTTTTGTTTTTTTTAGAATTGGTGTACTTAAAAAAATGTTTGGGGTTGGTTTTGCATTCTTTGGCTATCAATTTCCCATTTTCTAGTTTGGCCACTTTAATTGCCTTTTTTCAAGCATTATTGGCGTCCTTTATCTTATATAGGATGTGTAACGGATCACCTGGCACCCCGACTGGGTACCTCCGTTGATGGATGCTCCTAGCGGGATCCAAGCACTCTAGTCGACACCACAACCACCGCAGGCAGAACCTCTCTTCCTTCCGAGCGAAGCAGGAACAAGCTCTTAAAAGAGCTTAGGAGTGATTATAGCAAGGGAATACGCAGAGCATAGCAATCCCTTGTAGCAGATTCCCCCCAATAAGAGACAGGACTCCAAATTGAGGGTGAATTAATATGTGAAGTAATATGTCTAAAACTTTATTTTACTTGGGACTAGCCCATATGGTCATTACATTAACATTTCTGTGAAACCTCAATAAAATTACAAACAATCAAATCATAGCAGGCAACATACAGTGACTTATTATAACATAATTACATATTTATAAATGGGTGGGGAAGACCATAATTAACACAAAATGTCTCTCCTGCATGCAGAATTAGTGATATGCAAATCTACCCGAATATGCAAATTACCAGTCTTGCTATTCAGGTAGTGCATATTACTGTTGCTACCAACAGAGGGCACTACACAAGCTCCATAGCCAAATCCACCTAGTTGGTAGCAATCCTCAGCAGTACAGGAGAGCAGGCAATGCATTCCAGGGACCATAGTCATAGGCTGGTTCCGCCACAGGATGCCTGTGATTCGTCTGTTTTAAATGCTTTAAATGCCCTCTTCTTATTTTGAATCTCTTGTTTTACTTCCCTACTAAGCTACATTGTTTTTAATTTGTTTATTTTATATTTATTACCCAATGGTACATACTGAGAAATGTACCTTTCCAATATATGTTTAAAGAGATTCCATTTATCCTCAGTGCTTTTTTCACTAAGGAGTTTATGCCAGTCAATATGTTGTAGAGCTGCCCTAATCTTATTGAAACTGGCTTTTTAAAAATTATATGTTTTAGCATGCCCTACATGTTCTTTTGAGTTTATTTAATATAGTATGTGATCACTATTTCCCAAATACTACCCTACTTGAATGTTGGTCAAAAGATCAACATTGTTTGTTATAACCAGGACCAGTCATTTTTCTTCCTTGCTAGAAACCCAGAGCCCTTTCACAATAGACTTCTCAATAATGGGACTTTTTGTGTTTGCAGTTTGAACAGAATTACCATAAAATGCTTGTGTGACGGACTGACTTGCACCCCGACCGGGTACCTCCGTCAATCGCTGCTTCCTAGTACTTGCGAGTATCATAAGCACTGCACTGGGACACCATAACCACCTTAAACCCCATGAACCGCTGCAGCTTGGTTGGGGTCTCGCCATCCTCCACCCACCCTGGACCCAAGATGAGGATCCAGCTTCCAGTTGGTAGGCCTCTCCTAGTCCAGAGAGCGCAGCAGGAACAGCTCTTACAAGAGTTTAGTGATTATACTCAGGGGAGTATAGTGATTATAACAATCCCCAGAGTTTAGTTCTCCAATCCCCCAAAGATTAGCTGAAACTTCATGAAGGTGCAAGATGATCTTAGCTTTAATGGTTCAGGTTGGCTTTTATACATTTCTTCAGGCCAGAGGAACACCCTCTGGACCTGATGGAGCACAGGCACACAAAGGACACAAACCAATCAGAACAAACATACTGTCTGTGACACGCCTATGTTCAGCACACAATCCCTCCCGTCTGCTCGGGAGATAATTGAGTCCTGTAGGTAACTCAATTAAATCCAGGCAGAAAAAAACACATTTTCACAAAGTTCAAAAAGTACCCCAAAACATAACATATCCCCTCAATGTTACATCCCCGGATAGCCCTGATCTTGGTAAACAACATATCCAAAAAGTCACCCAGATTAGAGAAGGGGTGCAAAAGTTTAATGGAAGTCTCTTATTGACTGGCTGCAAGCATAGCTTCATGCCCAAAACAGTTCCAGGGAAATCAGTGCTAACAGTCGGTCAAGTTCGGTAGTTTTTTACAGGTTTCCCTGCAGGGCCCATAGTCTGTGGGCAGGAGGCTGTCAAACAGGCCCCTCCAAAAACTCGTGGCAAACTCACAGAAAAAAGGGAGTTTATCACAGCTTGCTTACTCAGTCGACTTATAGTTTGTCATTACGAGTCTGCATGTCTCCCTGTGGGCAATCCAAACTAAATTTGTCTCACATGGTTCTGTTACAAACCTTAAGATCAACTACATAAAACTGGAAACTCTCAATGTCACCATCCCCCCAGCACAACAACTCACTCTTACCAAATTATTTTACATTCCAGTGGTGTCCAACGCAAATGCGCTTTTTGGGTGTTTGTCTCACCAGAAATGTATTGCATATATATATATAAAGCAAACTGCCTCCCTGTTCCATTGTGGCTGATTTGTTAAAGTGGAATTTTCAGTTTCCCTCCTTGTTTGCCGGAATTAATATAATCAAGATATCTATTTTACCAAGTCTACTATTTCTTTTTCAGACAATCATGGTCCAAATCCCATTGGTTTACTTTAAATCACAGTGTAGCTGTGGACTTGGCAGCTCTCCCTTAGCTCCATGTGGATC